TCTCCATTTCCGTTTGGTTAGATTTTGAAATCTGGGAGATGGGGGGTGTTGGTTAGAACTTTTTCCTCTAAAAGGCAGCTGTCATCCAGCAGCCTTTGTTGAGATCTTCTGTTTCCAAGTACCGGTGTGTTGGCATGCCAAGGCTTTGTCCTTTGACCCTCTTCCTGCACTTCATATGGCTTTAAATGTCTGCCGCATGCTATGTATGTCAGATTGGACCTCTGCTAAGCTGAAGCCTTGTTTGTGCTAAAGCATTAGGCACCTCAAATGTGAAGCTAACCTGAGCCCTTGCTTCCCTGCAGTCTTCCCTGAGCCTCCTCCCTTTTAGTGGCTGGCCATTTCATTTTCTCCTTCATTCAGACAAATTCTGGGGTCATCCTCATGCCCTCTGCCTGTTGACTGGAAAATCCCACTCTTGCCTGGACTGCTGCAGTATTTCCGGATGGGCCCCCTCTCTTTGCTCTTGCTGGCTTCTTTACTCCCCACCCCGCAGCAGACATCACCGCATGCCCCTCTGGTTTCAGTGATAGTTAGAATAACTCCCATTTTGTTGCAGTCTCAGGCTCCTGTGGGATCTGCACTCACACCATAGCTCGCTGCATTTGGACCCGTCTGCTGGGGTCACTGCCCACTCTTCCCACTTTCTTTTCTTCCTCTGGATGTTTTCTCTCCTAGATGTGTTCATGTTGGCATAGGATTCATAGACCATAAAACATACTCTGTTAAAGTTGACAGTAGTTCAGTGTGTTCAGTTAGGCAGGCACCCATCTTCACCTCTAGTCTTGAAGAAACCGTGAACTCTCCTAATATTCTGTCAACTCTTAATGCTGCCACAGCTCACTAGCATGTGCTGTGTCTCTGCATGTGTGCCTGTTGTGGGTGTTTCACATACAGCTCCTCCTGGTTGCTTTCACTTGGCATCATCCTCATCGTGGCATGGATTGGTGTCCCTTTGTACAGCTGACTGGTGCTCCATTCTGAGCTTATAGCATGTTTTTGCTTATAGTTCAACAACAGCAGATGGGCATTTAGGTTGCTTTTGCTTTTGTGAACAATGACCCACAGACACTAGTACACTTTTGTATGAATACATTTTTGTTTATTTTTTGAGAACTGCCCTGGCAGTTCTGGAACTGGAACTCACAGAAGTCTGCCTGCCTCTACCTCCCCAGTGCTAGAATTAAAGGCATGTACCACAGCACCTAGCTACAGTGAACACATTTTTATTCTCAGTTCCCTGGACAGTCTATGTAGAAGCAAAACTAATGGGTTATATAATAACTCTTTTTAAGCTTCTCCATTCCCCTGCAGTAGGAGGTGCTACACCTGCTCTCCAAGCCCGCTTCCACTTACCTTCACAGCACTTAGTGCAAACTTAGGTCCTCTATGCTTTCACCAACTGCTCCTTCTGTTCTGAGAAATGGGCCTTGCCTTGTTTGCTGACATAGCCCCAGTTCCATAGAGTGCCTGGTATATTCCTTTTGAATTAGAATATAATGCTGTCAGCTTTCTCACTGAGCCACTTCTGATTTTTGTTTTTAACCATATATTATTTATTTTTGGAAAATATTTAAGACATTAGGTTAAATAGGACTGATCTCTTTTTTAAAGTTACCGATTTTTAAGTTGTAGTTATGTGTTTGTGCCTGCTTGTCTGTATGCGCATCATGTGCATGCAGAGACCAGAAAAGGCCATCAGATCACCTGGAACGGAGTTACAGGTGGTTGTGAGCCACGTGATGTTGGTGCTGGGATCCACGCCAGATCCTGTGCATGTGCAGCAGTTGCTCTTAACCACCAAGTCTGCTTACTCTCTAGCCCCTAATGCCCTCGTACATAGAAGCCACTGTTGCCTGCCCCAGTCCTGAGTGCTGGGTTGCAGGTGTGCTACACCACAACCTGCTTCTTTTTCTGTCTTTCCTTTTTTTCTTTTCTAAATAAATAACATGTAGAAGTAATTTTATAATTCAATTTATATAATTAATTTAGAAACTTGTAGAGTTTTCTGTGCCTATGTAAATTAATCTACCTTTAGCAACCCCTGCTGCCCTCCTCTGTGTGCTGTGCAATATGTATTACATATGGGTATATATACATGTATGTGTGTATGCATGTGTTTAGAAGTTTTGAAGATTCTGTCATGATGAGAGAAGCCATGACATTGAAGTGTTCACAGTGACTGCAAAGAAGGGGTTGATATTAAAAGCAATAATGTCCTATTTGGATATTTACTCTTCCAAAAATGAAATCAGTTCTTCAAAAACTTAGAAGACAAAATTCATTTCAGAGTGATTTTGTAGCCTTGATTGTGAAGAATATTTTGTTCCCACAGCCTTAGCCCTTTCAGACAGTTGAGGGCTGTGGGCATCCAGTTCTGAGGTGCTTGCCAAAGCAGCCCTCCTTGTCAGATGTCACAGCATGAGGTGAGCTCAGCATGGGCTGCGACCTTTCACCCAGGAACCAGAGGGGCTAAGAGACTAGACAAAGTTTGTCCCATAGCCATGCCCTATGTTTTTGTTTCTCTGTTTTAGCTACTCACTCCTTAGTTTTATCTTGCATGCTATAAAGCATCTGTAACAAGGAGGCTGCTTGTTAGTTCCTGGCTGCTTAGCCCCGCAATAATCACACAGAAACTGTATTATTTAAATCGTTGCTTGGTCCATTAGCTCTAGCTTCTTATTGGCTAGCTCTTACATCTTAATTTAACCCATCTCCATGAATCTGTGCATCACCACCAGGTCGTGGCCTATCAGAAAAGTTTCAGTGTGTCTGTCTCTGGTGGTGGCTCCATGGCTTCTCTCTGACTCTGCCCTTCTTTCTCCAGCATTCAGTTTAGTTTTCCCTGCCTAGCTCTGTTCCTCTATAGCTCTGCTACAGGCCCAAAACAGTTCCTTTATTAGCCCATGCTATTCACAGCATACAGTGGGAACTCCCACATCAAAGCACCTTCCTTATATGCAGATTTTTTATTAAAATTCTTGCTGTAAAACTGGGGCTCAAGCATTTTAGAACCCACATGTTTGGGAGGCAAGGCTCTGCCTATCATTTCACACGTATGTAGTTTGGGGTTTGGGAAGCTCCAGCACCCTTTGTTTTTCTCTTGTTGCTTCAGTGCCAGCAGATGGCACCAGATGCTTTGTTCTTCCTGGTGTCAAGTCCTGGTTGGTGTCACTAATCCTCTTCTTCTGTCACCAGGAAAGGAAGCTGCTGTATTCCTCAGTCTTATTCTCTGATGCTTATATAATTGAGTATTTTTGTTTGGAGTTGAATTTAGACTTGTTGGTGCTTAAATTACTTGTTTTATTTGCTCTCTCTGGTTTGGGTTTCAAACTTTGAACCCCTCCCTCTAAAAAGGAACATGTGGCTTTTCAGCTGGAGTCATTGTAGAGGAAGAATTAGGATCCTGAAATAGGACTGGGTTGAAACAAATTTTTGAGAGCAAAAGAGAAAGACTGAAAAGATGTCAAATATTCAGAGAAACTTGTGAGGAAATATAAAAGTGCAAAACCCAAGATGTGAAAATGGCCAAAACAGAGCATGTTTAGGAATATTAAATTGGTTACTTTAATAGTTGCTTTCATTACCTTAATCTTTAAATTTTAGCAGACAGCATACAATTTAAAAATGTTTCAAGTGGTTCTTTTCTCCATTCTTATTTCCAAGTTGTGTGCCTTCATGACAAACTGCTTTCCGTGTGTGTGTCAGCATAGAGCCCTGATTGGATCCTTGCACAGGCCAGGCAGCATTGCCGCTGAGCCGCACCCCGTCCACCATGTGGTACCCACAGTTTGGTTGTGTTCTTTGTCTGCAATTCTCTGTACCTGCTGTGGGGTGTTTTGGGTTTGTTTGGTTGGTTGGTTGGTTTTTGTTTTGTTTTTGTTTTGTACAACTCCAAATCAAAGGATTGCCAGGCCAGTTGTAGGTGAGAGGACATGGGGTTCAGGTCTTTCCCCAAGCTAAGGAAGAACAGGGAGTTACTTGTCTCGGAGCCCCTTTCTTCATGTGCAAAATGTAGTAAGGATGACAACTCCTCGAGGTTGTCCCGAGGGGTGAAAACAGTGTTGGTAGGTTACCTGACATCTGTGCCCCAAGAAAGCTAACATTGCGTGCTGACAGCACTAATATATCTTATTTAAAAACATCCTGCTCACTTCAGTTCTCAAAGTTCTTACCGTGTAGCTTTATCCCTGTCTTTTAAATTGGAGGTGTAGACATTGCATTTTGGGTCTCGAATGAGCTCTCATTTCAAAAATCGTGTTTGCTCAAGGGCCTGTGTTTACAGTGAGCTTTCCAGTGGGTATCGGTGGAGTACTCGGTTAGTGGGCTGGGAGAGAGGCCTGCTCGGGAGTGTTTTCCTCTGGGATTATAGGGACGGCCTCGGGTTCAGCCTTACTCTGTAGGCACCTGGCCACTAGGTGCAAGCGTGGTCTAGGGGAGCCGGCCCTTTCTCCCCCACCCTTCGGGTGGGAGCTACGTGCCGCCATCTGTCGGAGGTACCCGGCTAGGCCTTAAGTTCTCCCCGGAGACAGTGGGCAACAGGTCGGTGGCCAGTGGGCGGGCCTTCGCCCCTGCCCTCCTGCCTCATAGCCAATCAGCAACCCGGAAGTGGGCCGCTGCTTGGGCAAAGTGGTGACGTCATCGTAGCCGGGAGGTTTCCGAGGGCTCAGCCAATGAGCTGCAGGTGCAGCGGCATTCCCTGTACTGTGCTTGCCCAATGCCCGCAGAGCCCAAGGGGGCCCGGCTGTCGGCATGCAGCCAATGGGAAGCAGGCAGGAGCACGAGGCGGAGTTGCGAGTCCTGCGGCCAATAGGGTGCAGGGGGCGGAGTCCGGGCCTTGTCAAGCCCAGCCAGCCAGCGAGAGGAGCGGGCTTCTGGGGCGGGGTCTCGGGCACTTCTCCAATCGCGGCGGTCCAGGGGCGGGCTGTGCCGAGGGCGACCCAATGAGGGGCACCGCCGCCGCGGGCCTGTCAAGGGACGGGACCGGGGGCGGGCGGCGGCGAGTCGGGATAAACACTCGGCGGCCGCGGCTGGGATCCGGGCTCCGTGCCGTCCCAGCGCTGTCCCTCCTGGCTGGCCAGCGCGGCGGCTCTTCGGCGTTCCCGGCCGGCGGCCCGCGGGCACCGAGAGGCGGCCCGCCGGGTGCAGGATGGCGACAGCCGTCGGGATGAACATCCAGCTGCTGCTGGAGGCGGCCGACTACCTGGAGCGGCGGGAGAGAGGTGCACGGCGGGCTGCGGGCCGGGCGGGTGGCCGCTGGGGTGGTTGGGGCGCGGGCCAGCCGCGAGCGCCAACCCCCGGGCCCGCGCCCCAAATCCGAGCGCGGGGGGCGGCGAGCAGCTGGAACCTTCCACACCTGCTCCGAACCGAGGGCGTCCACGCCAGGAAAGAGCAGGCATTGTTCTCAGAATTCCGCCTGCCTGCTCCCAGCCGGTGTCCCGAACTCCGACAGACAGACGGACGAGGGGACAGGGTGTCAGATGCTCTGGGCCCATTCATTAACGGGACCCCTCGGTTTTCTAGAAGCTGAACATGGGTATGCCTCCATGTTGCCGTACAGTAGCAAGGACAGAGATGCCTTCAAACGGAGGAACAAGCCCAAGAAGAACAGCACCAGTAGCAGGTAACTGTTCAGTGGTCCCCTTCTCTGTAGCTAACACGATGGCTGATTTTGAGTTGGCTGCTGGGATTCTAGCCCTACAGACACATCGAAGGTCCGGGAATCAGACATGGTGCTAAACAACCCTTCTTTTTAAGTCGAGGAAACTGAGGAGAAAGTAGGAATGTCTTACATTTCATTATGACCTTTTTTTTAAAAAAAAAAAATCTACTTTTCACCCTCTGAACAAAGCAAAACTCCTTGGGACTAGCAACAGGGTCAGCACTTTTGCCTTCTTTACAGGCAACAGAGTTCCCACGTTTTTTTTCGGTCGAAACGCAGCGTGTTATCAGTCGATTTTGCTGGTCATGGTGAAGATTTCATAAATGAGGTATCTGGCCTGACACAGGTGGTAGAAATTTATATTTAACATGTAAATTCAATGCAGTCGTTTGTCTGATAACCCAGTTGTGACCTCTGTTTCTGTTGGCTGAGCAGAGTGATTGAGGTTAGAGCCCACTTCTGTGAGAAGGTGCACGTACCATTTGGGTGTCAGCAAGTTCCAGCCTTTTCCTGTTAGCCTCACAGATTAACTTCCAGTCCTCAAAAGCTGTGACTGAGAGTTCACAGCCCCTGGTCCACAATAACATTCTTCTTTGTGACTGTCCCAATATCCCCCTCCTTGCCCTTAAAATACTAGTTGGAGCTGGGCCTGATGGGGCACATCTCAGATCTCAGCACTCAGGAGGCAGAGGCAGGTGAATGTCTGTGAGTTGGAGGCCAGTCTGGTTCACATTGGGAATTCCAGACTAGCTACATGTGAGACCACAGGGTTACATAGTGAGACTCTGTCTCAAAAAAAAAATAAATAAATAAAAATAAAAACCCAAGAAACCCTAACTAGTTGGTAGGAGTCCATGTTACTAGGGCCGTTCAACTTAGGCCATGCCTAAAATCATTGACATTTTCATCAGCAATTTAGAATCCTAATCCCTCCCCCTCATGAATAACTTCCCACCAGCACATGGAGTACCATATAAGGTTGCTTCTGTGGTTAATACAGACCACTAAACCCCAGGAAGTGCCCACTCACACCTCGAATTCACCCACCATGCCCTTGGCTCACCCCGTCCATAGTCCCTAGTGTTGGAATCACAGACTGAGCCTCACACTGCACCACGCTCCTGACTAAGGCACAGGAAGGGTGGACCTGCCCCAGTAATTACCTGGTGGGTTTTCCTCGTCCTCTCATCCAGCATAGCCTGGCGGCGGTAGTCAGTAGCACTGCACATGGGCACCGCAGCCTTCGAGGAGGCCCGCGCTGATCTGAGTCCATGGCATTCTGTAATAGTTTCACATAGAACTCGAAGGCTTGGGCGTTGTTCGTTGTCGTTTCTGTACTAGTGTGTTTCACTTTTGCCTTTGTTATTACCACCCAAGTTGGGAGGAATTGTCCACCTTGCCAGTCTTAGACTTTGATGCTTTAACACTATTTTCCCCCTTTATAGAAAGGTTGCTGGGGGTGTTGAGGAGTGGGGACTAGAGAGGCATTGTGTAGTGACTTGGTCCCGGAAGGATGATTCAAAAAGCATAGAAAGAGCTTAAAATGCTAAGCGAAGCACCAGAGACCTCTTGTTGCGAGCCTACAGCCCTGCTGGAAGGTGGCTGCCATTCCTGGGCTCTGCCAAAGCTGAAAACACTTCTGTTAACAGGCTTGCTTTCTGTTCTTAGAGACAGGGCTATCCCCGCTGTCCGTGTGCCTCACTGCCAGTAAATGGGTGTGATGCAGCCGGTGTGGGAAGGGTTGAAGTCTGAGCAGGTGGGTTTTGTAGGCATGGTCTCTTCCGTGGGTGTTGGCACGTCCCTCACCTGAGGAGCAAGAGCGTCGTCAGACAGGAGAAGGACACCAGTCAGAGACAACCTTCTGCCCGGAACCCTGTCACCTAAATCCGAACTGAGAAGGCCAGGGAGGTACTGCTGGTTCACAGAACCCTTTGACAGTGACATGTTCGTGTTCAGGTTGAAATGTTATGCTCTTTGCTTGTGGAGTCTGAGGAAATACTTTGCTTTGAACAATAAAAAATGAGATTCAGTCATTATTTCAAACTTCTTGGGAACTGAAAATGCAGTTTGTTTTAAAACTGCTTTTGTCAAAAATAATAATAGTAGTAGTAAGAATAGTAACAAGCATAGTGAATGCCAGTTGCTTTGGAATCACCCAGAGAAATACTGGATTAGAAAAACAGGATTTTTCTTTCCTACTGGTTTTTAAAATCATTTAGTTATTTAGAATTGAAACTGAGAGCTTTGTTTTTCTTGTTCTTGTTTGCTGTTGTTTCTAAAGAAAGACATCTTGTGGCATAAGGTATATCTCAGTGGTAGAGCGCTTGTCTAGTATGTGTGAGGCGCTGAGTTCAGTCTCTAGCCCTGGAGGGAAAAAAGGTAAAGACAGTCCTGTTGCCCAGGCTAGCCCAAACTCCTGGGTCTGATGTTCTTCCTGCCTCGGCTTCTTAAATAGCTGGAACGTCATACACGTGCCTCTGCCTGTGGTAGAGTTTTCAGAAGTGTATGTCGTTAACGTGAGGAAAACAGGCTCTGCCACTGACGTGAAAGAGGAAGTCCGGGCCTTGGTCACCGAACTATTTTATAAGGAGCGGCTGGCCGTGAGGCCAACCTAACACGAGGAGCCTTTCTGACACACTGCCCTGGGCTGAGTTATCTTTTTATTAGGGTGTGCTGTATAGGGAAGGATTGACCTTATGGCCGTTCCAGAGTCCTCCCGTCCTCGATGCCTGCATGGAAAATGGCTTGACACAGAACGTTTCCGTGCATCGTCCCGTACCGTAATTAAAATCGGGGTGCTCACCAGTCGGTGGGGGTGGCTGCTGCTGATTAATGACTAACTCAGGTTCAGCAAGCCGAGCACACTTCACTTCCACCTTTTAGATGGCTGCCCCTTTAAAAGGCACGATGTGTGCAACACTCTGGAGTAATCAAGGAAAACCTGTCCTTTCTAAAACTTGAGAGTTAGAAAATTGCAGAGTTAGACTTCCTGCAGAATTTGTAGATAAAGTGTGTCCTGGGGATTCAGAATTTTTTTTTTTATGTAGACACAAATCATTTGTCTGTTGGTAGCTCTTCAAAGAATCCTGAAGTTGTTGGTGAAAAGTACCCCAGGTGCTCTTTCTCTTCCCAGTCTTCAGGGACAGGGTGGGGACACTCCTTCTCTGAGGTTAAACAGGGAAGTCTCCACCAGCACTAGGCGTCCACTCGTATCCATTAAAAAAAAAAACAAAAAACAAAAAAAACTGCCAGACTTTGAACTTAGAATTCCCAGTTAAAGGTAGAACGTCACGTGTTTGAAGCCACGTGTTTGCAGTTCAGGTCAGATTCTTGTTAACAGAGGGTCCCTGCCAACCCCTTACATAGACCAAACTGATGGAGAACCCAGGGAACCAACTGAAAACTGACTGGTTAGGGGATCCTAGAAACAAAACTTTAAATGCCACCATTATTTTCTCATTTGTTTCTTGTCATGAGCAGAAATTAATCTTCTGGGGCCTTATAGAAGACAAGTTTGCTTTAACCACCTTTTTATTCATGTGTGTGTGTGTAGGTAGGTGCACGTGTACCTCGGTCGGCCTGTGGAGGTCAGAGGATAACTTTCAGAAGTTGGTTCTCTCCCTCCACCAGGTGGAGGGACTCAGGTCACCAGGTGGTGCCGCAAGCACCTTTATCTGCTGAGCCTTCTTACCAATCCCTAGAAGAGAAATTTTAATGCTGGGCTAGAAATTTCCTGCTTGAAGTCAGCCCTCTGCCCCCGCACAGACACACACATGGCGCTGTGAGTGAACTGGGCTGCGGTGCCAATGGTATTATGTATGATACTATACATGGACGAGCAGGACGGTATTATGTATGATACTATACATGGACGAGCATTTGCCGTCCTGCCATGACACTTTATCTCCCGGGCTCACAGAATTCACAACCAGAGTCAGTTCGATTCCAGAGAATTCCACATGATAGGTCCAGATTCTGTCCTCTCCCTCACATCTCTGTCTGGTCAGAGAGAGGCTGCGTGAGCATGTAGCTGAGTCGTGTTGACTCTCGTGACGGTGGAACCCTGTCCGTGAAGTCCAAGGCAAGGCCTAGTCCTCAAGGACAGCTATAAACACTAATCGTGGGGTTCTCACCCAGCATGCCTTTCATCCGACCCTTGCCAGCCACTTTTATAGTTGCTTCCTCATTGATCCACCCTTGTTTAGTAGATTATCGGCAATTATCTTTATTCCCATTTAACAGAGGGGTTAACCAAGGACGGGATAGCAAAATCATTTCATTTATAGCACTACAGAGAGCAAAGCTGGTCTTTTTTTCATCCCAATTCCTGCTTTTACCAGACATTGTCTTCGTGTTGAATTTGCAAAGCCCTGTTTTTGACCTCACTGTTATGGGGCAGCAGCGGCTTCTGGAGATTCTGCACGAGACATTTAATTTAGGAGCTGAATTGGGGAGGAATTATTTTACCAGTTAAAATTGGATTTTGTAACCAAACAGCATCATGTTTTAGTATATGCGACCCTTAGGAGGTAAGGCGGGAGATGACGCCACCCCCGTGACTTTACAGATAGCATAAAGAAGGCTTTGTAATGTTACGCAACTCCAGGGCACACCACACTGTACAACTGTGTTTTGTAAGTGACCCTCTTCCTCCTTAGGAAGGGCTGCATGCCTCCTAATAATAAGTCACTGGAATTCCTTGTGCTGTATTTTCTTTAGATTTATATTTTTGTGTTTATGAGTGTTTTGTGTGTATATATGTCACGTGCATCATGTTTGTAGCTGGTACCCACAGAGGTCAGAAGAGGGAATCAGATCCCCTGGAGAACTGGAGTTACAGACAGTTGAGCTGCCATGTAGGTGGTAGGAATTGAACCCAGGTCCTCTGCAAGATCTCCAAGTGCTCTTAATAACTGAGCCATCTTTCCAGCCACTTGAACTGCTTTAAAGATTTTTAATTATCTGACGCCCCAGTTGACTCCTTTAGAAGAAGCTGGGGAATCACCTGCATCTACCTTCTCTCTACCAACTTTGTAGAAAAAAGTTAAAATGGAGGCTAGGGAGATAGCTGTACAGGTAATGTGTTTGCTCTACAAGCATGGGACCCCTGACATTCATGTACAAGTCGGGCTTGGGAACAGGCATCTCCTTGGGTATGGAGACAGAGCCCTGAGCTCTCCAACCACCAGTCAGAGAGCTCCCCGGTCATTGAGAGGCCTTGTCTCAGAAAGTAAGATGGAGAACAGTACTGAAAAGATACTAACACTGACCAGTAGTGCGCTCGCTCTCTCTCTCTCTCTCACTCACACACACACACAAATTCAGGTATGTTGGTGTTTAAGGTACTTTGTTTGTGTTTTGTTTTGTTTAATACGGGGTCTCATCATCTAAGTCTGGCTGTCCTGGAACTTACTCTGTAGACCAGAGAGATCCACCTGCCCCGCCTCCCAAGTGTTGGGATTAAAGGCGAGGGCCACCATGCCCAGACTGAAGTTAGTCTTTAACACAAGAATGATTGCAAGGAAGAAAAAAAAAAGAATGATTGCAAGGGGGAAAAAGACAAGAATAATTGATTTTTTTTGAAAGACAAAAGTAATCTTATTTTCTCATTCCTCTTCCAGATCAACTCACAATGAGATGGAGAAGAACAGGTGAGTAGGATCTGGGGTTTGACGCAGTCATTACTCCCCCCACTTTTAATCCTCCCACCCCGCTCCACTCAGGCCCAGGGAATGCCTTCAGATGATTCCCATAGATAGTGAGAGGTGCCTGTGCAGAGGTGTGCTCTGAACCACATGGGCGTGAAATGCGCAGTGCGTGTGCACGTGCATGCATGCCTACAGTTAACTTGTGAATAAGGAGTCTCGATTCAGGCAGCTGTGCATATGGAAAATAAGGAAGGTAGTGCCTGGAGGTCTGGGTGCTGTTTGTCTCTGGAGGGGACCTCCCACCCTCTGTGCCTCGCCTTGCTCCAAACTCTACCCTTCCTTCGGGGAGGTTGCCTAGAAGTTCTCAGCTCTGTTGCTTTTCAGACTCACTAGAAAAGCTTCTAATTAATTTTTAAAATGTGTTAAGTGTGGTATACATGCACACACGTGATTTCTGGGCAGAAAGCAGCTGTTTATCTCTCCTAACTGTAGAATAGAATGTTAGTGGGAAAAGCTTTGCACACAAAGGTAAAGCGAACTGCGGTCCTTCTGTGTGTCCACCCAGCCTCCAGTTTCCCACATTGGCCAAATGTCACATCACCAGGACATTTGTTGTTTTGTTTTGTTTTTCTAGACAAGGTTTCTCTGTGTAGCCCTGGCTATCCTTGGAACTTGCTCTGTAGACCAGGCTGGCCTCGACCTCATAAAAATCCACCTGCCTCTGCCTCCTGGGTGCTGGGATTAAAGGTGTGCACCACTGTACCACTGTCTGGCAGTAAAGACTTCTTTAAAAAAAAAAAAAGTAAGCATGACCACGGGCCTCTACCATACTGAGAAACAATTAATAATAATTCTTTGAGGAGCTTTAAAACAAACAAATAATGCCAGCCTTCATGTAGTGATTCAGACTTAATTGCTTTGGGCTGAGGATCTGCACTAGAATTCTTCAGAAGCTCCCCAGGTGACTTTCTTGTGGAACAGCCTCATTCTGTGGCCTGAGCATCCCTCCCCCTGACATGCAGGCTGCCCACCCAGGCAGAGAGGTTTCTTCTCCCTGCCCGTGTGCTCAGGCAGGTCTGCTGTGATGATGGCTCTGTTTCTGGCAAACCCCCGTAAGCGACCCTGACTCTAAACGTCAGGTCAGAATTGTGTTTAAGTTTCACCCAGGAAAAGACAGGCCAGACCCTTAGCAGGCAGGGACTGGAAGGAAACCAAATGGTCAGTCCTGGTCCCCTACAGGGTTTGAGGTGAGTGTGACGGTGTGCACCTGCGCCCTGCTCATTGCTCTAAGCCCGGGCCACCTTTATGCTTTCAGGGTTCAGGCGTCAGGGCCTAGAAACTCCGAACTGTCTTCGGGTAGAAGATGGCAGCTGCGGCCTCCCTTTCCCATCCTTAGAGACTCTCTTATGTCCTCCTCAGACCACCCTTCTTTCAGACCCTCGCGTGGTCGTCTATTTGCATTATCCAGTTTCAGCCCTTTGGGCCCGGGCTCCGTGGTGGAGGGCATGTCTGGCGTGCACAGCCTTGGGTCCCATCCCAGCACTGCAAAGGGAAAACAGACTGCATCCCAAGCCTTCCGGGATTGTATGCCTTTTTCTTCTGTGAGAGCATTTCACAATGTCAGTCAGTGAGTGAGTGAGTGTGTGTGTGTGTGTGTGTGTTTGTGTGTGCGCGCGTGCATGCACGCGCTTATGTGTGTTGGGGGTGTCTGTGTGTCTGTCTATGATTTAAAGTCAGCACTGGCTGCACAGACCTCAGATTGCTCCCGTGTGCCCTTCAACTTGTGCTTGTCTCAGGAGTCATTGCTACTCCCCTGCTTCCTGTCCCTTTTGGAATCTGGTCCTAGCAAGTGTCCTAACAAGTCTGCCGGGTTTAGAGTGTGCGGTCTGAACGGGAAGGAAGTGAGGCCTCCATTGCTTGATTTAGTCACACCTGGGTTACTGCAACCCAGGGGAAGAGGTCAGCGTTTTCCGACCTCCCTCTCGCTCTGCGTGCACTGCCACACCCAGTTTGTGCTGTGCTGAGTTACACTCTCCGGTCCACATAGTCGTGTGTGTGTGTGTGTGTGTGTGTGTGTGTGTGTGTGTGTGTGTGGTTGTGAGCACTGACTGCTCTTGGAGAGTACTGGGATTCTATTCCTAGCACATACAAGCTGCTCACAATTATCTGTAACTGCAGTTCTAGGGAATCTGACATCCGTGGGTACCAAGTACACATGTAGTACATGTACACACACATTATTATTATTATTATTATTATTATTATTTTGTTTTTTTGAGACAGGGTTTCCTGTAGCTTTGGAGCCTGTCCTGAAACTAGCTCTTGTAGACCAGGCTGGCCTTGAACTCACAGAGATCCACCCGCGTCTTCCTCCTGAGTGCTGGGATTAAAGGCGTGCGCCACCATCACCCGGCTCACACATTATTTTTTAATCCTAAAAATATATAGCTCATAAAAAGATTGTGCGGACTCTCAAAATAAAAACAACCCAGAAAATAAGTCTAAGATGGGATTGTTTTCCCCCTTTGGTGTGGTAGAGTTGGGTACACTTGGGTTTCTGTGGCATTCAGAACAAGCCTTACCCCAGGCAGGGGCTCAACAGTTAAATACCTGGCATTCATAAGAAGCAAGAAAGATGTGGAGACAGTGGCAGTGTTTGCTCCATAGGTGGAGCGTGTGCATGGAAGGTGCGTCTGTCATGTAACTGTCCAGTGTACCATTCATCCTCAGGAAATCAGTCTGCCCTAACGGCTCTTGCCCTCTGTGTAACTAACTCCGGCTTCCATCCAAGGGTTTTTGTTGCTTTGTTTTATAAACTTACTGATTTTAGTTTATGTGTATGGGTATTTTACCTGCTTCTGTGTATGGGTATCACATGTGTTAGATCCTCCTGGAACTGGAGTTATGGACAGTTATGCTGGGCTGTTGTGTGGGTGCTGGGAACGGAACTGGGATCCTCTTAGAAGAGCAACTGATACTCTTAGCCACTGAGCTTTTATCCAACCTCTATAGCCATGGTTTCTTATGAAAATTTTTCTTGGCTTTTTTAAAACAGAATTTCACTACTGTAGTACAGGCAGCCTCAGATTTGCTGGTAGCCCAGGATGACCTTGAATTTGGAGGTCTTCCTACCTTAGCCTACCTGTATTGGGATTGTGATAACCTGCCACAAAGCCCAATTCCAAGTTTTTAAATCAGTCCTCTTATTCCTCCTCTCCCAAATTCTTAGGATTTCAAAAGTTGAAACTGTATAAATCCAATAAAATTAGCCTTTAAGGGTAGATGTAAGGCAGGTGGCGGCAGCACAGGCCTTTAGTCCCTACACTCAGGAGGCAGAGACAGGTGGATCTCTGAGTTTGAGGTCAGTTCTAGAACAGCTAGGGCTACACAGAGAAACCCTGTCTCAAAAAAACAAAATAACAAAACAAGCAAGAAAGAGTATATGCTAAGCTACTAGATCTTTCCATCCAGGACTCAGTGTTTCTTAGTTTGCTCAGATCTTTCTTCTGTCTCTAAGCAAAGCTTTGTAACATTTCCCCATAAACATTACACATTTTTTTATTGCAAAAGTGTGTAGGATTTGCATAGTTTTGGGTGCTGTAGGTTCTTGTGATTAGCAGGTTGGTGATCTTCAGAACACAGGAATCCTTCCTGTCTCTCACTGCATGCTGGGTGTGGGTTCTGCTCTGTCTCTTGTCTAGGAACTGCTCTGGTGTAAGTGTCTCAGGAAACCCTATAGTGATGGGGCTGCCAACACACCAGCCATGGTGATGGGATCGGGAGCCAGTGGCACAGCAGGGGCCTGCCCAGAAGAAAACTCTGGCTTCTCCTTCAGTAGCAGACCATGTTTTCTGGGATGGTTCAGGTGTGGGCTTTGCCAGAGTCAGGGTCTTCTGACCTTGTGACTAAAGATTTGTGTGTGTGCCCTGTGCAGATTCGCAGCCTTGGTCTGGGCTATGATTTTTATTTGATTTTAGTGGTGCCTAGCCTGGCATGAGAGAGCATGCCAGTAGTTTTTCTGGAGTATGTTCTGGTAATCGTAGGTCCATAGAACGGTTTCCTTAGGTTTCTGACTTTCCAGATGGCCGTATTCTTTATATCAGAAGGGTCAGGCATGGTGTGTGCAGGACCTGGGCGTGGTGTGCACTGGGCCTGGGTGTGGTGTGCACTGGGCCTGGGTGTGGTGTGCACAGGTCCTGGGTGTGGTGAGCACTGGCCAGAGTGTGCTGTGCATGGGGCCAGGGTGTGCTGTGCCTCATGCCACCCTTGTCTTCTGCACACCCTTGACCACATTCGGATTTCATTATAAGATATAGTCAATTCTTGGCTGTTGGCACATGGAGTGAAGGCAGAGGCTGTCGATCCTCTGCAGGGATCGGTGTACAGATGCAGGCTGTGCTGATGGTGTATCACTAGAACTAACTTTCTGGTGCTTACCTCTGGTATCATCAACCTTTGGAGGCTGGGAGAAGAGAGAGACTTGTGTGGTCTGCTTCTCTAACTTCCAGCCCCCTCCCCAGCCTGGGCTCTGAGTGCTCTCTGACTTCACTGCCAGAATTAACAGTGCGATCGAGCTAGCAGGTCTTCAGTAGAATCTATTTTATATGAAAATCAAACCCTGGGGCAGGAAATACTACGGAGGCACAACCGCTTAGGCCCCAGGTTAGACTCTAGTCTGTGTCTTCCGCATGGAGATGCTGCACAGTTGTGGCTGCACATCACTGGGTGTGTTGCTCCTTGTGTCTCTATGGAGACTTGTCAGCATGGGGATGAGGATTCTTCCAGGGCTTCAGTCAGATTAGTGATCTCCACTACGCAGTTGATGAGACATGACTGTAGAAGAAAAAGAGGAAAATAGACCTTCACTTTCCCTTAAAGTGTGACTTATAATCTTCATCTGTTTAGCTTAGCAAGACTTTGTTCTCAATACAAGGCCGGCTGAGACCCCTGCTCACTTTCATGAAGGCTTTGATTCCTTAGTAAGACTTAGTTCTTGTGACTCCACACAGTGCAGCTTGTGTACATCCAGTGCTCCTGAAGGGGTCCAAGCCCAAAGGCCCACCTCTGCTTTCTGGATGGCAGCCACGGACACCTTCTAGTGAAAACAGCAGCCCTGAGTACAGTCAAGTGCATCGTGCTCCGGGGGACTCCTGTCAGCGTGGGCAGGCACAGTGTGATCTCTGGGGTCCAGTGCTTGATAAGGAACAGAGAAGTTGGCATCATTTTGCCCTTGGTAGTGAGGTGGCCACCTAGGAAGTTCAGTGTGAGTGAGTGGGACAGTGAGTAGATGTGACCCAGTTAGAGAGGAGAGCAGATTATCATAGACCACACACAGGATCTCTGAGGGGCTGTAGGTGAGAACGAGGGCCAAAGGAGCCCTTCAGATGCTTCAGATGGGAGCTGAGTTTAAATGGCTTTGAGGCAGGGGCTTTCTTTCTCCAGCACTGCCACAGTGCCTGGGAGGGAAGGAGCACGCGCTGTAGTCCCCTGAGAAACTCTTCAGGGAATTAAGGGTGGAAGAACCAAGCATTTGCCACATGGCAGCCACCTTGAACCTGGTTGGGTGTCTGCCCCTTGACCAGCAACTGCTCAGCGTGCTGTTGGGTTCATATTTAAAATCGGGCCCTGCAACAGAGATGCACTCAACACAGACACTTCCCTGTCAGAAGCTGGGGCAGGCCCTGGAAGCTGGAGCTCCCGCCTGCACAGTCAGTCTCCACACTGAGGCACTGGCATGGGAGACACCACCAGCCCCGGGGGCATTTCTCTTTCGCTTAGCTATTTGGTTTTCCATCCTTCGTGACTAAGGAAAGTTGAGCAAACCTACCTACACTGTATGGCGTGTGAGTGTGGAGTCTGGTGGGGCTATTTTGGTGGTAACCTGCTCGCTCCCAGGCCAGATCCTACACACTCATCTCAGGCTCTGCAGCACTGTGCCCTTCATCTGCTAAATTCAGCTCTTTTTGCTTGCGAGTTTGTTCTGCTTGCTTGATGTGGGTCCTCACTGCTCTGCTTTTAGTCCTCACTGCCTTCCAGCGATTTAACGCCCGTGCAGCGCCTTCCTCCTCGGCTTTTTCCAAAGTGCTGGCAGTCTCACACACCTAGTCTTCTAGGCAAAGTTCAGGCTGAGTTTCCAACATGAAAAGAAAACTGTCGGGATTTTGTTTTGTATACTTGAATTAAATTTGAGGAGTGCTGGCATTTTCTCTTTGAGGGGTCATCGCCAGGAATGTGTGGATTTTTCCATTCCCTCAGATTTTCCGGTCCTTCAGCAACATTTGATAGTTTTCTTCCCATTACTTCTTCACAGACTGTTTCAATTTCTCTCCTGACTGTGGTACTTTCCTCTTGCTGAGGGAGGGTTTTAAGCTCTCCAGGTGTACATGGCTCTCCAGCAAGGTCTTTGAGTCCTCGCCTTTTGCATTTCGAAGATCTTTGCAGTAAGGTTTGGAGGGAGGCTGGGTACTTCAGAAAGCCAGAGCCTGCAGCCTGGAAAGTGAGCACATGCCTCCCTCCTGACCTGGATCCTGCTGCCACATGACACACAGGACCTCAGAGGGACCTCCTGCTACACTTACTAGCTTATAAACACGTTGTTGATCCTTCTACATAAGCAATGCCTGTATTTCCACAGAAGGGTTAGCTAGCTTACTAGCTATTTCAAGGACAGATGTCCATTTTCTTTGAGTGTTTTATCAGTCAGCCCCTGAGATTGCAGCTCCCGGCTTGTCCATATTTGCTCAGGGCAGTTACCCTTGTGTTCAAGAGCTAGGCTTGGAAGAGCAATGCCAACTGAGGCAGGGTACACATTTCAGACCCTATGCCCTCAAGAGAGCCACAGAGGTTCTCTAGGGTAGGCTCTGTCACCCATTCTGTAGATGAGGAAATAGAGACCTCGGAGTTGGGAAGTTCAAAGTCACATGGGGAGTAAGTGGCAAAGCAACCTCTGCTCCGCGCCACTAACTAGTGTTGGCTTGTGTCGCAATTGACTGATGCAGAATGGTAAAAGTAATAAAAATAGGGCATGGGGTACTTGCCAACCGAGAGGACTGTGGTTGACCCGTGGTTCATGTGGACTGCTGGTTACAGGCCACACCTGACTGTTAGCACCGCGATTGCAGTGCAGCTGAAATCATGGTGTCACCTGCTGCTGTAGACCCGAACCCTTGTCTGCACATGCCAGTTACAGCCCTCCTCCTGGAGAGACAGCTTGAGGCTGCCCAAGCTCGTTACCTAGGTGCAAGACAGCCTAGTTCTTCTAGCAACTGGCTGAAGGGACAGGAGGAGCCAGGGGAAGGCACCATCTTCCCCTGCCAGGACAGAAGCTAAAGGCCACCCTTGGTAACAGAAGGCCATCTAATGGGGCAGTAAGATGACCTGGGGCACAGTGACAGGTCTGTACACTGCCAGCCAGTCCGTGTCTGTGTGTGACCACATCACAGGAGGACAGTATCCTGCAGTCTTTGCAATAGGTGGTAAGCGTCTCTACATAGTTAGTCTGCAAGCTTTGCATTGAGAGGGAGGTAGTGCAGCAGGTCGCGTCGGTGTCGGGTGCTGGTGGTGTTTTCTCATGGTTAATCCTTTTCTAGATTTTTTAGGTTTTTTGAGGCAGGGTTTCTCTGTAGCTTTGGAGCCTGTTCCGGAACTAGTGCTTGTAGTCCAGGCTGACCTCGAGCTCACAGAGATCCTCCTGCCTCTGCCTCCCGAGTGCTGGGATTAAAGGCGTACGCCACCATCATCCAGCTAGATTTTTTAAAAATTATGTTTCAAGATGGGCAGTAATCCCAGCACTCAGGAGGCAGAGGTAGGCGAATTTCTGAGTTTGAGGTCAGCCTGGTCTACAACATGAGTTCCTGGATAGCTAGAGCTACACAGAGAAACCCTGTCTCGAAAGAAAGAAAGAAAGAAAGAAAGAAAGAAAGAAAGAAAGAAAGAAAGGGAAAACAGTTGAGTGTGTATGTGCCGTGAGCGCAGGTGCCTGTGGAGCCTGGAGGCGTCAGATCTCCACGGGTTGTGCATTGCCCGGCGTGGGTGCTGAGAAGAAATCCTGGTTCTCCGGAAGAGCAGCAGTTAACCACTGACTGTCTCCAGCCCTCATGGCGTATCTTTAGTTAATCTTCTAGTGTGCAAGTTAAATGTTTCATTGTGGCATTTTCATACATGTGCACTGCATCTTGCTTCTGATGGCATGATCTGTGTTGGAATATTATCCCCCAGCAGTACTGTGCACACATCTTCTGCTCCTCCACCCCCAGCAAGTAGCTAATGCTGTTGTCTTTGCTGCGGGTTCTTCCACAGGGCAGAGTTTCACTGTTAGCGCCCAGGCCTTTACATTGGGCAGTTTGCGTGTGCTCCTTGAGCTCAGAACTCAGAGGCCCTCAGCGCGCCGTGACCCAGATGGGGCAGGAGGCTCCGAATGTGGTCCAAGCCACATTGCCCAGTGGTGCCTCCACCAGCTGGAAGCTCGCTGTCTGTCTGGTTGTGTGTGGAAATGGGCATTGCCTGGGCCAAGCTCTGTGCAGATGTGACCAGCTGGACTCTGTCTCTGAGAAGTTTAAAGTCCACTGGGATGGCTGACACAGGCATCAGTCCTATCAAGCAGGCATCAGTGAGTAAGCCTCAGCTGGGCCTCCCAAGGATGAGTGAAGGGCTGAGAGACAGACACTAAACCACACGGAGAACCCCAGAAGGATTCCCTGCGGCCTAGGATAGCTCGGAAAGGTTTTTAAGGAGGTGGCAGACCTACATAGACACCTGGAAGTGGGCCATTTCTCATGTTCATGGAATCTGTTCCATTCTAGAGTGAAGTCCAAACCAAGGTTTCAGTGAACTGTAGACATCTGAAGTTGTGGGGGCCCTGTGCTTCTGGTCATTGTGTCACGGATCTGCCTGTGACTGTGCTCACGTCAGCTCTTGTCCAGCACACTGAGATGGAAGAGCGCTTCTCTCAGTCAGACATGGTCAGCGTGGCCTGTGATGTACTTGTCCCACATGTGGGAAAATATATTTAACTGTTGGAATAACAGTAGATTTGTACAGTCAAAAAAACCCAAACGTACCAAAAATTATTCAGTAAAAACGTCCTTCCCTTCTTCCTTCTGTGCCTGCTTGCCTTTTCTCTGCCCAGCCAGGGCTGCTGGTTTCTGGTGCGCTGGTGCAGACTCAGGTACACAGAAGCACACAAATGTCGGCTCTTGTTTTCCCACCATGTGAAGACCATGACCATTGAGCACAGTCTCAATCTTCTTCATAGCTGCGTAGTCTTCCCCTAGATAGATATACCGTAACTTACTTAACCAGTTCCCAACAGTGGTTGTCTGGGTTGCTTCCATCTTGCTATTATTAAACAAACAGTCTCAGTAAATAACTACAAGCATAAACCTGTGTGCACAGCAATGATTAGATTCAGTAACTTGGGAAGAGAAACCAGGTTGAGGACTTTCCCCTGGGCATGTCATCTTCTGATTCAGGAGAAGCTAAGGTGAGCAGATTTTATGGCCCACACCCCAGAATTTCATTTGGAATCAGTCTAGAAGGCCTGAGTTCTGCTACTCACTGGGCTTCAGTGCAGGTTCCTGACCTCACAGAGTATTGCTGGCACCGGCCTCTGCTGGCTCTAGCAGTCACACGCTTCCGAACCTGTGCAGGAGTCTCAAGTGCTGCTGTGGTTCTGTGTTCGCAGGCGCGCTCATCTCCGCCTGTGCCTCGAGAAGTTGAAGGGGCTGGTGCCGCTGGGCCCCGAGTCAAGCCGGCACACCACACTGAGTTTGCTGACAAAAGCCAAATTGCACATAAAGGTAGGTGCCTGGCCTTCAGCTGCTTCTCTGGGCTCCTCCTAACCCTGCCTCCCTCCCCAACATCCAAAACCCAGTTAAAGGGTCCAATCAGAAATTCTGGCCCTGGTGCCTTGAGCCACTGATATCCCCACCATCACCAAGCCTGACACGTGCCCTTAGCACCCACGGCTGTCTCCCATGCACTGTGCCCCACACCCATCTGCTGCAGCCTGGAATGCAAACCTGCTGTAGTGCAGCTACACATGTTATTCTCAGTGCCTCAGGACTCTGGAGGAGCTGTCACTGGGTCTCTCCTGTTCTGGAACCGGGGCCAGCATGCCTGGCATTCCCTCTGCAGTAGCTTGTCCCCTCTTCTCCATGGCTAGCCTCTCCTCATGCTGCTAGTCTCCGCACGGGCTCCCAGGGCTCGAAGCCTTTGCTGAGCCTTTCCTGTCATGGGGCCCTGTGCACATTTGCCAGTGTCCTGTGTGGTGGCTGGCTGTCCCCAGAACTCTACTGGAGCTCCACGAGGGAGCCAGGCCTTTGTGTGTCGTGCATCCTGAGCACCTCACAATGTCTGTCTGTGCGCGCTCCCTGCGCACTACTGAGCCACAGCCAGCAGCGCCATTCAGCCATGGCTTGGTTAGACAAATACTAGCGTATTAACGGTTAGCAGCCTGCATACAGGACAGCTCTGGAAGAGAGCCTCAGTTGGAAGCAAAACAGCTACAGTTAAACACTATCATTAATTATCTGCAGAATATGAGGAATGGGGGGCAGACTTGTAAGAATAAGTCACTGTGGAAGCTTCCAGACACTTCTCTTGGACAGTTCGGAGTCAGGACTTTAAAAAGGCTCTGATTTCCCCGCTAGCAACAGAATTTAATTGGGGTTTGGCGTGACATAAGAACTTGCTTTGTTACTGGGACTGTGCTGGGATAAACGTCTTTTTAAATAGAAGTGTTATCACCTGTCACATGGCTTTCCAGTGCTGAGGTGTTCAGAGGGCTGCTGCAGATATGGGGACTAGGTCAGGGGTCTAGTGTTCTGGGTTACCAAGGTTAAGGGGTGTAAGAGTCAAACTGTTGAGCTTTCCCTGCATCTCTGTGACAGGCCAGCCCCACAGTGCATGCTGAAGTTAGACAAAGCCCATAGTAACTGGCCAGTCAACTCCCAGGCCAGAAGAGAAGCTTAACAGACGATACACATTTCCCTGCTGGCAGGCTGGGTACAGGTTCTTTGCTGGTATACAACACACCCCATAGACTCCAGCAACCACCCTTTGCCTTGCAGAAACTTGAAGATTGTGACAGAAAAGCTGTCCACCAAATAGACCAGCTTCAGCGGGAGCAGCGGCACCTGAAGCGGCGGCTGGAGAAACTGGGTGCTGAGAGGACCCGGATGGACAGCGTGGGCTCTGTGGTGTCCTCAGAACGCTCTGACTCAGACAGGGGTGAGCCACACCTGCCAAGGGGGGCTTCAGGCAACAGAGCCAGCTCTCAGAGCAGATAAGACAGGACTCATAGGGGCTGTCAAGGTGACTCAGTAGGTAAAGGTACCTGCCATTAAGCCTGAGTTTGAACCCTTTGGGACTAATGGTGGAAGGAGAAAACCAATCCCCAAAAGTCATCTCTCACCTCTGCTTGTACACTCATGCACACACGAAATAAAAATGCAATAAAACTATAAAAAAGAGAGGGCTCAGGCCTTCGGGGGCTGAGCAGCAGGACTGGTGTAGCCCCCTCTGCAAAGAGTTAGATTGTAGGGAGCTGGAGAGATGGCTCAGCAGTTAAGAGCACTGACTGCTCTTCCAGAGGATTGAGGTTCAGTTCCTAGCATCCACATGGCAGCTCACAACTGTCTGCAACTCCAGTTCCAGGGGATCCAACACTCTCACACAGACAGACATGCAGACGAGACACCAATACACATAAAATAAAAATATATCTTAAAAATAGAATAAATTAAAAAAAAAGAGTTAGATAGTAGCAGCCAAGAAGGGGTATAGGAAACTCTGAGATGTCCTGAGGGCTCTGTAGCAGGCCCTCACCCTTGTGTCTCCTCCCCTGTAGAAGAGCTGGATGTGGACGTGGATGTGGACGTGGATGTGGACGTGGAGAGCACAGACTACCTCACTGGGGACCTGGGCTGGAGCAGCAGCGTGAGTGACTCGGACGAGCGAAGCAGCATGCAGAGCCTGGGCAGTGACGAGGGCTACTCCAGTGCCAGCGTCAAGAGAGCCAAGCTCCAGGCTGGGCACAAGGCAGCTCTCGGGCTCTAGGGGAGGGCCCGAGGATCCTCTCATCTGATCACGTAGTGTACCAGACCTGCCCAGATGCCCTTGCACGCCAACCTCACGTACCACCTTGACCAAAATCAGCTCTGTCCATTTTGCAGAAAGCTCGTAGGGTTGTGGTTCTGAGTGCGGTCAGTAGCTTCTCTGTCCATCCACGTCAACGCTGAGAGACCGTACATTCCAGTCAATTTGAAGCACCCAAGAATCCTTAGCCCTAAGCAAGTTTCACCTCTCAGCAGCCCCCTGTGCACTGTCCTCCTGCAGCTGGCCAGGCCTGTCTTAGTTTTCTGGCTTATGATGGTACTCGCCCAGGAGAGAAGTTCACGCTTTGTCTGGCACATAGGAAACCGAAGCAAACTTCTCAAAGGGAACTCAATCTCAGAAACCCCAAAGGAAGCTTTGAAAGCAAAACTGCAGAGCACTGAGAAGCCAGGAATACCTCCAGCAAGCCCTGTTGCGGCCCCTCCGCAGTGCCACCGTGTCCCCACTGAAGAGCGGGCCACTCGGCAGCTCAGGAGAACAGTGTGCCCCCTGAGTGTTGTTCTGGGGACCTGGCTGTGTGCCGTGTCTCAAGGCACCCCCACGCCCCGAGTTTGTTGATGCTACTTGTCTCTGGAACATTGTCCTACCTCAGAGATAGATGAGATCTCCATTGCCCACGTAACGAAAGTGATTATGCTTCTTTGCCCACGGCCCCACTCCCACCTGTTTTCCTGTCGGACTCCCAGCAATAACTGAGTTTTGGCGCTGGCTGAGCTAGTAGCCACCGTCTCTGAGAGAGAGAGGCCACATTTCTTCTGTGTGGCAAGTAAACAGGAGGGTCCCCATGCCACCAAAACCTCCTGCTGGAAGCTTCCTTCTGGAGACTTCTGGGTCGATGGCTGGAAAGGATGATGTTTTCTTCCCTTGTGGCATTTTTATTTAAGCTAAACCAGAGCACACGTGTATTGTACATAAGACACACAAACCTATAAATACTATTTATTCATTTTATAGAGACTAATGGAATGGAATGGAATATAAATTCTTATGACTGCTTTTATAGATGTTCTAGAAACTTTGTATGTAGCTGTCTATAAAATTAGTTCATTCCCCTGACTATTTTTGCATTTGTATTTTGAGGTCTGGGTGTTTTCAGCCTCTGGTGAATCTTTTTTTCATTGAGTCTGAACCATTTGTAAAATCTGTGGCCTGCTCAGAGCCGAGCCCATGTCATGGAGTGATGGAACATTCCTGAGATCCACGGGTGCCACCTAAAAACTCCATGGCTGACTCCGCAGCAGGCAGCTACCCAGTCCCACCCCTGTCCTCAGATCCAAACAGACCCTGACCACACAAGGTCACTCTGCGGTCCTTGGAAGTCATGACTTTCTTAATGATCCCCAAGTCCTGTTTTTGCTCTCCCCGACTCCCTCCCCTTGCTGAAGTGTTTCCCAAATACCAGCTGAAAATTAGCCCAGAAAACACAGCCTGGATCCATTGGCATTTGTGCTCCTTCCAGAGTCTGAGTAGGTGGAGGTGTTTGGCTGGCCAGGTCTGTCCTTTGTCTAGAAGATACAGCTGTGCCTTGAGGTGCCCCCCTCAATCCCCACCCACTAGACCCTGAGGGCCTCGCGTCCACTCACTGCATCCAAGCTGGCAGAAAGCCAAGACCGTGGGAGAAGTTTGCAGGGTGCCCAGGGGACAAAACTTGTGCACGTTTATTTCACTTAGGCGTCTGAGAGATGCCGTTAGTTTCTGTGTTTTAATTGTTTCACCTTTGAGTTAAACTGCTTTTTTCTTTCTTTCTTTCTTTCTTTCTTTTTTTTTTTTTTTTGGTCTTTGGTTGAAACATGACGTGTACTGTCCTAACATAAAGCAGTAACTATTTGACCTCCGCCCTGTTTTTCTGGTCCTTGCACATACGTGTGGTAGATCTCTGTATTTTAAAGTACTTGTGACAGACTAACTGCCAAGGTCAGGCTTGGCTTTGGAGCTTTGAGGTGGACTGAGGCAGGGTGGCAGGCAGGTTTTTCTCTGACCAAAACTGAAGTTTGGGGGCCAGCAGGCTTAGCCCGGGGCAGCTAATTCCCACCCCAGTCTCTCCTTCACTATCACCAGCACGACTGCCGAGAGCTAGTCTGGAGAACGGCTTTTTCCGTAAGCAAAAGAAAAACCTTTCTGTTAAGGTTGGTGGTGCCGGGGGCAAAGGTGTGAGCCCCAGCTGTTATGACTCTGACATCATACATGAACAGAAATGTGTCATGAAGGCGCGTGCTTATTTTTATGTGAAAGTTCCTTTTGAAACTAAAATTTAAGCTGCACTCACCGACACGGTCACAATGCAAGTGGGAAAACTTTGGACTCACCGTCGACTTTACTTCCATGACACAAGGAAACATTTGCATCGTCCTGGAAAGCACCAGACTGGCTCTGGGTGCATGCCGAGCACCAGCACGTTTTGATTTGGGTTTTCTTTCGCTGACCAGGTATCTTGAATTCGGTAGCAGTTGGCAGCTGCCTCTATCCTTGGAGACCTGCCGCTGCCTTAGCAAGGCTATGGGGTCTCAGCAGGACCTGGTTGCTCCCCCTTGATCCAAGGCTGGAATAACTCCAGCAGCTACGGGTGAGTTGGGCAGGCCCAACCCTGCAGTGGCTGCGGCAGTAGTTTTATTATTTGGTTTTAAAGTAGTGGTTTTTCATCTCCCTACTGCTGTGTTCAGCAGAAGCCAAGGTTCCCCTGGGTTTCCTGTGGCCTTTCTCCCCATCTTTGATGTGGCCAAGGGCATTTGGGGTCTGAGAACACAGAAGATGGCATATGATACTCAAAACCTTCTAGCAATATCTTGGGGACTTGACGATGAGTTTTGTGGACTTTCCCCCTCTTGCCTTCTTCCCTGTCCCTTCAAGAGAGAACTTATTTTTTGAAGAGCGTATATAGACACATTAAGGTTTTATACCATGCTGTATTGGCAGGAATACCACTTTTATTGTGCTTTGTAACCTATCACCGAAATCATGTTTTCTGTTTCTTTACTGAGGTAGCTACATCATTTTGTCTTCCTTCTTTACCCTCCCTGTGTGTTTTCTATTATTTCCGTGTCTCTTTGGTATTTCAGTAGCTGCCACTCCTGGCTTAGTGTTTTCTGGGAGAAGACCATCCTGCACCTTTGACTGTGTGCTGGCTTCTCTCGTTTGGTGTGCCCAGAGCGGTCTACAGCATGTTTTGTTTTCAGAGATCCTGGATTGAGGTGGTGTGAAATGTGATCCATCAATACTTATAATAATTTTCTTTTACTGTGGTCTTCTGAAAGAAGAACCGATCGATGGGCACCATTACATTTGGATCATGGAGGGCCAAGGAAACTGAGTGTGTATGCCATCTCCAAATCACACAGTGAGAATTAGGAAGGCGCTCTGTCCTATGCTGTGTCTGGATTCTTACTTTGAGTTCTTACTCTGTCTGGGAGGGGCAGTGGGTCAAGTGGGCATCCTTCATTCAGCTTTGATCTAAGAAGCAAGCTTGCCTCTACCGCTGTCCCTCGACTCGGTGCTCCTGGTGTGTAGCGCTGCATGGCTAGTCTGGGGGACCATCTTTCTGAAGGTGAACAGCCTCCATGGGAGAGTGCAGGTGAAGAGTGGGAAATGTGCTTCCAGATGTTTCCTTCTGTAAATATGGTGCCAGTGTAAGCCTGTGTTGAGGCTGTGGAGAACGGTGCTCTTGGGGGTGGGGGGCTGCAGTTAGCACTTGTGTCTTTAGAACCCATCATGATTTAGAGACTCCTTGCTGTGTGTAAACTTAATGTGTCCGTCCATTAACAAATAAATTATTTCATTATTAAAGAAACGTTGGTCTTCCCGTGTCCCACCTCTCAGGCTCCATGAGGAGAGGTGAATTGAATGAATTTCCTGTTTCTTTTCATTTTACAGCAAGTCCACTCTGGGCTTCTTTAATGATAATCTTTGAAAGTATGGCCATTCAGTTGGGTGCATGGCCTCTTTCCATTTTTCTGCATCTCTCTCCCTCCCCCTACTCCTTCCCTACCTCCCCTCCCCTCTCCTCTCTTCTCCTCTCCTCTTCTTTCTTTTCCTCTTTTCCCCTCCTCTCCCCTCCTTTCCCCTCTCCTCTCCTCTCCTCTCCTCTCCCTCCTCTGCCTGTTCTTTTGAGATGGAGTCTGATATATATCCTAAGCTGCCCTTAGATTTGCTAAGCAGTTAAGAGCAGAGCTGGGGAGATGAGTCAGTGGTCAGGAACACTGGCTGCTCTTCCAGAGGACCCAGGTTTAATTCCCAGCATACATGTGGCGGCTCAACAACCATCTATAACTCCAGCTCCAGAGCATCCAATATCTTTTTCTGGCCACAGTGGACACAGGCATGTGTGTGATATGAAGACATCTATGCAGACAAAACACCCATACATATTCAAATGATTAATTTGAAAAAGAAAAAGAAGAATGACCTTGGATTTCTGATCCCCCTGCCTCAACCTCCTAGGTGCTGGAGTGACAGGCAGATATCCCCACACCCAGTTCAGTGAGTCGATTAGATTCCATCGTACGTTAGGTCCTTGGCACTGCCTGAGCACCCATGCCCCCTCCCCCCTGGCATTCCTTGCCATACTCTTTGTTAGCATCTGGTGAGCCAGGAACTCTGCTGGGGCCACAACAGCCAAGAATAGGAAAGCAGCCAGGTCATGAGAGCCAGCTTGGAGAGAGTGGGTGCCTGCTGAGGCAAGAGACTGACTGGGAAAAAACCTCTGGACGCAGTGGAAGACCGCAGGAAGAACCTCCACAGGAGAATAACAGCATCCGGTTTACAGCCTCATCTTTTTTAAAAAGAGAAAAGCACATTTCTTGCCAGATGTGGTGGCACACACCTTTGATCCCAGCGCTTGGGAAGCAGGAGGATCTCTGGGAGTTCTAGGCCAGCCTGGTCTACATAGTTCCAGGACAGCGGAACTATATAGAGACACCCTGTTTCAAATAAATAGAAAAATTCCTTTATGGGTTGTGTGTGTGTGTTTGTGTGCACTCGCGTGCCACAGCATGCACACGGAAGTCGGAGGACCTTCAGGAGTTGTCTGTCCTCCCATCATGGGGGCCTTGGGATTCAAACTCAGGTCATCAGATTTGGCAGCAGGCGACTTGATCTGCTAAGCTGTCTCTGCGACCCTGCAGTGTTTTGTAAGGGTGACACATTTTGGTAATTTACGTTTGTCACATAAACACCACAAACCTCTAGGCCAGGTTCCATCACAGCTGAAGGCACACTGGTGAGAGAGTCACCTGAGACCCTCAGGCCATGCTCTTCCGGAGCCTGACCCAGAGCTGCCCCCACAGTGCCCTTGCTCACCAGGCTGCCCTGTTCATAGTTAGGAGTAAAGAAAATGAGGTCTTTTCTCCCTGTCTCCCCTTCCTTCCCTTCTCCTGTAACCCTAGGGGTGCAACTCAGTCCACATGGACTAGGCAGGCATTCTGTCTGCAAGGTGTATCTCCAGCTCTTTTTTTAAAAAATAGGCTTCACTCTGTGTGAGGTTGTAGCTCAGGTTGGCCAAAGCCCCTGAGCCGCTGAGATTGAGATTGACAGGTTGTTCAACGCCATACCAAGTTTGACCTTTAACTTCTTATTCTTAAAAACCACCCAAAAATCTAGAACGCTCTTCAGGGTTCCCTAAAAGCCTGTAGATCATGAAAGAAGGGAGTTTCCTGGTATTTCTCCTTTGGAAAAATTGGCCTAGGATGTGAGTTCTCTCACAAAAAGGAAAACTTGACCTGTCTCTCTAGGAGAGATCAAAACCAGCACCCACTCTATGACAAGCAGCGCCCATAAAAGTGGGGTTCCTCTGGGTCAGGCTTACTGAAACCCAGGAAAAGAAGCTCAGAGTTGGAGATAACTGTGGAGCCAGGGTCACCCACCACAGTCATGTCCCGCCAGGACACAGGCTACCCAGGGTCACCCAGCACAGCCGCGTCCCGCCAGGACACAGGCTACCCAGCACGGCAGCATCCCGCCAGGACACAGGCTACCCAGGGTCACCCAGCACAGCCATGTCCCGCCAGGACACAGGCTACCCAGCACAGCCGTGCCCCGCCAGGACACAGGCTACCCAGCACAGCCGTGCCCCGCCAGGACACAGGCTACCCAGCACAGGCGCGTCCCGCCAGGACACAGGCTACCCAGGGTCACCCAGCACAGCCACGTCCCGCCAGGACACAGGCTACCCAGCACGGCAGCGTCCCGCCAGGACACAGGCTACCCAGGGTCACCCAGCACATCCGTGTCCCGCCAGGACACAGGCTACTTCCAGCTTCCCAACTTGTTTTGTTGGCCCAGCCATTCTGCGAGGGCACTCATACCAGTCGACCACTCAGAGCCCATGCAAGGATAGAGCTGCTGCTCCCATAGAAAGATAAGAAGACCCTCTCGGGTCTGTTGTCACCAAGTCCCCCAGCAGAGCATCTATCCTCTGCAGGCACTGAACAAGGAAAACCGTTTTCCACCTCAGGTTCCTGTGAACAAATCAGAAAACCCAGAACTCCCCCTGAGCTGGCGTCACCCTCCATCAGGAGCTTGATCTGCCTTGTCTAGACCCCACAAGGGCTGCTGGCACCAGGACCAGCTTTGCCCTTGGCTCCCGCAGGCCTTAGAATCCCCAATGCTTTGCCCTCACTGTGTCTCCATGAGGAAGCCTCTGAAGCTGTCCCTTGGCTCCAGTGCTCTCAGAATGAACAGGCGTCAACCCACACTACCTACCCAGGATTCTCTGCACCATGGGACATCACTGGGGAAACTGAGGCAGACTTAGGACTGTCCCATTTGGGTGGCGCACTGGGGTGGGCCAGTCAGACCACATGGGCAATACAATCAGGCAGGCCAGGTCAGAGAGCGACCCTCAGGGCGCATACCCCCTCAGACACAGGAGCCAGGTCTGTCTGATAGTCATGTGCACAGACTTCCAGGCCCCAAGACCACCTCTGCCTTCACCCCGGGGATCTGGCACAAGAGTGCTGGCCCCATCTGTAATGTGCGGGTAATAAAAGGGCCCCTCTCAGACATCCGGGTGATGCAAGCTGAAGGAGGCCAGGGCCTCGTCCTGGCGCCGGACAGACAGACAGCCCCATGCAGGTGAGCATAAGACCTCAGCCAAGAAGAGCCTGAGGGTGGCCACACATGCCTCTTCAGGTTTGGGGGTGCTAGAGAGTTTAGCCTGGAGCCTCGTGCATGCTAATCAAACACTCTACCACAAAGCCACCCCTCATCCTGCTTGAGTTTCCAGAGGGGAAATTACATGGCATGCGCGGAGGGCTGTTCGTTCACATACGCCATTCTGACTCTGCTGTTTAGATGACCCCAGCAGGCAGGAAGAGGTTGAACTGAAGGGGAGTGGCAGAGAGGGTGACTCAGGGAGGGGATGGACACTGGCTGTGTGGGGGAGCAGTGTCAGGTGGGCCCTCACTTCTGAGATGGTCAGGGAGGCACGGGAGTCTCCCTCCCCTGGAAGCCAGCCAGTGTAGACACTGGCTTTAGGGAAAGAGTGGGGTGGGGAGAAAGGCTTTTTTAAGCCCACGCGGGTGGCACCTTGCTGGAAGAGGGCAATGCCCACCCCTGTGGGACCATGTCTCACCCTGTCTCAGGAAATTCTTACTCAGGTAGGCTGAGTCTCCAGATGGACTCTCACCGAGGCTTCCCTTCCTCAGGTGTGAACACAGTTCAACTACAAAGGCCCAAGATGCTGCAGGATTGCCGGCTGTTACCCAGTCAAGGCCAAAGGGAACAGAGACTGGAACAACACGGGTTCTAGGGGAAGCAACGGAGGCGCCAGGCAGGGCCTGAGGAAGGAGGGAGGCGCTTTCTCACTCCCTCATTCAGGTCCCTCACGGGCGGGACAGACTCAGTGTAGGAATGCTGCAGCCTCCCCTGAAGAGCAGGCCTGTGTTTACCTCAGAGAACTGATTCAGGAAACCCATCTTTCTCCTTTTGCTTTGGCTGCCAGGAAGCTGGGGGCCAGAGTCCCCGTGATGTGAATATCGGTATCCTAATTTTCTTTCCCCTGCTCTTTTCTTTTATCTTAATTTTTATTTTTCATATTTTAATATATGCATTTTAAAATTATTTCTATTTATTTACATTTTGGAGACAGAATCTCACTATATAGTCCTGTAACTCACTCTGTAGACCAGGCTGGCCTCAAACTCACAGAGATCCGCCTGCCTCTGCCTCCTGAGTGTAGGATTTAAAGCTTGCACCTCCACACCTGGTACAGGGTGTGTAATTCTGAAGTTGTTTTAGATAAACCTTGTGGAGACAGGGGTCAGGCTATCGTGAAGGATCGCTGTGAAGGAGAGCTGTGGATTCTTTCCTCTACGAGGAGAGGGAGGTGAGGCTGACCACACGGCTCAGCCAGCGCCACATGGACCCTGGGCATAAGTGTGGCATTTTGTTTTGTTTCAGTTGTGGAAGGAAGGAGAGATGACACTCTCTGTCCAGCAGTAGGCCTGAGGACTGGGGAAGGGGTCGGGGGTGTTCCCAAGAGGCCAGGGGTGTGGCCAAGCTGACCAGGGGCAAAGTCATTCCTTAAAAAGCAAGAAAGAATGACCCATTACCCCACCTGAGCTGCACGACCCCTACACACACACACACACACACACACACACACACACACACACGGATTCGCGCCTGTAAGTGGCCTGCTGTTTCCGTGCTCACCTTGGGTCTGCTGTTACACACTGTTAGAAAGTCCCTTACAAGGCGGGTGTAATGACATACACCTGTAATCCCAGCATTTATAGGAGGTGGAGGCTGGAGGGTCAGGAGTTCAAGGCCAGCCTCAACTACACATGGGTT